ATAATGTTGTCATGTCAAAAGCACACCCCTCCTCCCTACTGCTCTCTATAATCTACCAAGTGTAGGGGGACGACGGTTACTCATAGTCCATTTCAACAGTTCGATCGCTCAGAAATCCATTAGCGACTTCACGGGTATGTCTTTGCATGGAATAGCATGAATACCCTTTCATTATCTAGTTGCTTGAGGTATTATATGATTTGAATGGATATGTTGAGAAAGGAACTTGTTGACACCTGACTTGCGTTGCTTTTCCAGATAGAGATCCTGCTTTATTATGTTGACGTGGACGGTTTCTGTCACTAATTTCTGAGCTCATGTAATTTCATCACGTCAGGGGTACAACTAGTTGTATTTATCTTTCTGGATGATCCTGTTACACAAGCTGATCCACACTACTTTGTTTTAAAGCATCATTAAGTACCATGGATATCTCTGTATTAAAAATTCCAAATCCACCATCTGAATACGTCTTTTTTAATCAGAGGGTGTGAATATTTTGTGTCGGAAAGGAATGTAACATACTCTTCCCAAAAACCACCAAGTTTCGGTGGCATCACATTACCTACGGTTATGAACTCCAAACAGTCAACGTAGTTCTGATAAAACCATTCCACTACGACTTTATATCGGCTGTGGTGTCACATGGCTTACTGATTTACATATTCAAAATCGATTTGATATAACGTGTTCAACCCTCTGTATATAGTGACTACTTGATTAAACTAACAGATCCTGGAGATTCTAGGTATTCAATCTGCAGGAGTAAACTGAAAAAGCAAAGTTATGGAAAAACAAAACTGTTGTAACTATTTAAATTTCTATATTGTTTGATAATACTGTGATAACTGGAAGAATATAAATTAAAATATAAAGCTTATAATCTAAAGTCATTGCAGGAAGATACTTGGAAGCTAGTTGTAGAATAAAACTGTTTTAACTGGAAAAATCAATTTATTTCAGGATAACTTCGGCATTTCCTGAAGAGTCTTAGGTATTGAAGAACAAAATAAAAAAAACGCTAACATAGGAAGTCTGGATACCAACATAATCTAAGAGGCTTACGTCTTACTCATTAAATAATGATAAATTAAAAGTAACCTAAATTACACAAATAAATGGAGCAAACGTGGAGAGTCAAAATTCCGCAAAATCAAACCGCGGTAGCCAATATTTTGTTTGAATGTAGTTACTACACTAAATTATTTAAGGTAGACGTAGCTTGTGAAGACTGCATGGCAAATAAACAGACGAATGTCGTCATATAGACAACCATACTGAGATATGTCTGTTCCAGTAAAACTGTTTTGTTTGTCTATATTGAAGAAGTAAGTTTAAAAGACTTAATGAAAACCTTAACTAAACCGAATAAATTCTCCAGGTTCTGAGAAGCACGTCTAGTAAAAGTTGGA